TATATGTATATACATATACATATATGAGGTCCCAGTGTAAGTTTGCCACTGGAGTGATTTTGTTGGTAGGTTTGGTCTCTATCTGCTGACAGCGGCAGCTTACTTTTATTTGCTTAAAACCGTGCTTCATAAACCAAAATATTATTCAACTGGGTCAGCAGAAACAGAATTTGCTGCACAGCCTCTCGGTAGATTTGCTTTTAATTGATTTTTTGAGCTCCAGCTGCAGTTTATCAGCTTTTCTCTCTGCTCTATTGCATTTAAATAAGGCTGACTTTGCTCAGCTTGGTGAAGCTACACCACCACCACTCCAAAAAGTTTCCAGAGTTAATGTTAACATTGTGAACTTGTACAAAATAGTCAGTTCTTCCTAAACAGATCTCCAAGTGACTATCACAGGAATTTAATGGCACATTTTAAACATAGACCATTTTTAAGTAGTTTTATTTAAAATTAAGCAAATATTTAATGTATATAACGCCAGAGCACGTTCTTATGTCCTTACTTTAATGAAATCTTAATCTACATTTCAAAATGAAATAATAACAAGACACCTCAGTGAATGATTAGAAGCTGAAATGCTCTTCTGGTAGAACTTATTTGGTTTATTTTTTCTGGGAGATTGTTTAACAGTATGCATTTCTGTAATTTACCAGGGCCAGAGGTGTTAAGCAAGTACAAATACTTCATTACCTTACTTGATAAGAAATTTTGACTATCTAAACTTTAGTGGAGTAATTATTTTTTAGACAACTTTTTGCATCTACTCCTTACATTTTCATACAATTATCTCTACTATCTACTCCTTGCATTTCAAACATAGATTCATTAGTTTTGTATCATTTAAGCTTATTTTTGCTATGGATTGTTGGTATTAAAAAAATGTTTTTAATTTTTTTTTCATCCAGACAATTAATTTCTTTGTGGTTGGACTCGGTGCTACACAATTTTTTTGTTGGTCGCATACCAAAATAAAGAGTTTTTCAGGATGATGCACAGTTAAATTTGACACTGAAACTATTAGTTATAAAATTACGTATAAGGAAGTGATCATCGAGAATTGTAGAAAAATGTAGGCTAGTTCAAATGCATCTATCCTAAGCATTTTTGCAGCATTACTTTTACCTTTATACTTTAAGTAGTTTTAAAAATGGTACTTTCACTTTTTTACTTGAGTAAAAAGCTTAAGTTGATGCTCTAACTTCTACAAAAGTGTTTTTTAACAGGATTTATACTGGAGTAACAAGTAGGACTGTAAATCGGAAGGGTAAGATCAGGACAAGTCATATACAGCGTTCTGATCTGTGTCAGTTATCAACTGTCTAATGATGGATAAATCGGTTATCTCAGTGGATTCTAATAATATACACATTCAACATTTATTTACCTGTTTTGATGAGTGAATTTTATTTTTTTCCGCTGTGCATAAATTTACCTCGACATTTTTTCACTGTCTCTAATCAGAGCCCTTTTCGTAGCAGCTGCTTTCACACTCCTCACTGCAGGAAGAGGACGGTAGGAGAGTGTAGGACAGAGAATGAACAGATGAGTAAAAGGTTTTGGCAGGAGAGAGTGGGCGGGACAGAGACTGAAGATCAAGAGATGGAGGGCAGGGAGAGGTACGATGAGATTCGGCAGATGGAAAAAGGAGGTGACAGTGGGTTAGAAGAGGAGAAAGATGCTGAGGAAAACAGCAGGGAAAAGAGAGAGGGACGGTAGAACGTGTGGGAGGAGGAAGGGAGAGAAAAAGGAAGAGTAAAGGAGAAGAAGAAGTGGGGAAAACAGTAGGTGTGATGAAGCTCTAAAGAAGACGAAAAAAGATGAAAAAAGGCCTCTTCGTCATCCTCCCTCTGAGATGAAACACTTCACTCATGTTCAGTCCTCTTTTCTTTCTCACCTCTGTCTCTCTTCTTCTTCAAGAAGAACTTTCAAAGTATCTGACACTCTTAGGATGCATAAAAGACAAACAGACAAAAGTTCTTATATGGTTTTCTATATGCAAACAACTTTATCACTGTATTTTTTATATTTACTTGCACAAATGTCACTTTTTTTGTTGCAGCAAGACATAGGGTAAAATTAAAAGGTGGTTTTACTGTAACATAACACTGAGGGAAAACTGTAAGGAAAGATTTTTTATTTTCTTTTATAAAACCACAAGAGCATTGGGCACATTTAAAATAACCCTATTGTGTGAATACTTTGTTGAACAAATTCTTGCTTAAATAACAGCTGTTGGGGGGAATGTCTTCACCAGCATTCATCGAGGAAAACATTGGGCCTGTTTTTATAATCTGGCAAAGGACCACAAGATATGTTAAGAAAATATGGACACCTGTATAACCTAAAACCTGGAAACAAAACATCTTGTCCTCTAAACAGTCTCTAGTGTGACTAAATAGTTCAAAACAAGCTTGTTTCGGATGCAAAGATGAGGCTGTTTGCTAATGACTTATGATTATACGTTTTTGTTTGTGAGTTTTGGCTCAAAAAGGGAAATAATATAAATATAAATTTCAATATAACGCCATTACTCAAAGCAGTGTTAATAAACAGATTATTTCAATGGCTCCTTTGCAGTTATAAGTTACTTTAGTTTATATCCCTGACACCCTGTTATTGCTGTACTTGTTTATTCTGTTCTCTTTCCTAACAAAGCTTCATCTTCACTGAATAATGTGGTGACATGTTAATAAATAAGGGCCACAAAGTTAAACAGTTCCATAAAATAGATGAAAATGTAAATAAAAAGATGTAGTCAAGATGATATATAGCATCCGCATGCTTAAAGGGAGTTTAATGGTGCTAATGCTGGTAAAAGGGGAGGAAAACAAAACTAATCAGTGTTTCTCTCCCTCCATATATCTTGTTAGCTGCTCTTTCATGTTGGCCCTAATCCTGTGATAATAATACTCTTGCAATGTTTACAATCCATGATATATTCTAAATGAAAGATCTGATTCTTATCTGTGAAACATTCTTCCAGGATTCTTTCCATGTGGTTTCCATGTACGGCTAGTCTTTAGCATTGTTATCCATGATGCAAGGCAGCCAGCAGAAAGTTCAGACACTCTAAAAATGTGAACTCTGTCATGATGTGAACTCATCCTTAGTGTGTTCCTTATATGGTTTACATAAATGCATCAGATGGACTTTGTAGTTTTAGAAAGAGCCAAGCTGGGGTTATTTGCAGCTCTGTTTGCACTAGCTATGCCAAGGCATTCACTCCTCTGACACAGCTGAATCAAATGGATTCATGACTTCCTCAGCATACCATCTTGTTCTACAGAGGTCTGATTCCAGTAAAGAGATCCAGAATAAGAAAAAGAAAAATATAGTTCACTTGAAATGCTTCTAATTTAATTTAGTTAAGTTGAGTTTGTATAGCCTCAATTCATGACTTCTGTCATCATAAAAGTATAGTAAAGGATATATATATATATATATTTTTAAAAGACCCGCTGTTTCTGCTTAAAAAAATAAACAAATCTGATCTTTTTATGATAATCTGAACAACACAATTCCATTTTTTTTCCAATCCAACCCATGCTATTTAGCTATGTGGTCCAGAATCGAATACGTATCTGATCTTTTCGAAGCCTTTGTCTGAACGGCCAGGTCGCATTAATTGGACCTGAACATCATTCTCTTCAAAGGTCACTATTCTGCATTTTGTTACACAGAAGCAAGACGAAAAACAAGAACAATGTGGATAATGCAGAGAGCAGTCTTTATTTTCAGCCATCTTGAAAAGATTGTGTTGTTAATGCACTGTCTGAGGTTGGTAAAGAAATGAAACATGCAGCAAGTTGTGTGAATGCATTCACACAAGAGATCACATACAAGTCACATATATTCTAACTCTTGGAAAAAAAGATAAACATAGACAATTTTCTGACTTTTTGGTTGTGGAAAAGTGTTATTAGCATAAAATTACATATGATTCATTAAAAACAAAATCCTTCAGATTGCCTCGTTCTTGTAAGAAGGTGAAAAACCGATCCATCCCTATATGCATTAAAACAGTTGCTTGTTTCCTGTTTACCAACCAGTTTTTAGATGAGTTATTAAACTATTTTTTTTTGTTTTGACCTCAGGTTCCCTCCCTGATGATGGACAGTCAGTTCTCAGAGTTCACCCCTGATATAACTCCCATCATGCTTGCTGCTCACACCAACAACTATGAGATCATCAAACTACTTGTCCAGCGCAAGGTAATTATTCTGTTACATAGAAGCTACTTAATTACATAAAAATGAATCCCTTTTATAGCAAATTGGTACCCACCTATGTTCTGAAATCGTTGTTATTTTGGATTGATGTTTTCTTCTACATATTCTGTGCAGGTCACCATCCCAAGGCCGCACCAGATAAGATGTGACTGTGTAGAGTGTGTATCCAGCTCAGAGGTTTGTCAATTTTTCTGATTACAATGATCTGATTACCAGGCACAGCTTCTGATTTATAAAAAATGAAGATCTCAAATAAAGCGTAAATATTTCTCATACAACATTGTTTTAAACAGTGGACATATCATGTACTTTCTTTTTCAGAAAGTTGTCCATTGAAACTCATTAGATTGAGTAAGTGAATTGCAAAATTCAGTTATTTACTAACAGTTGATAGTCGCTTGGATTATTCTGTTGAATTTAAAGTAATGCTTTTAATTGAGCATGTATGTAGAAACCGTAGGAAGAAAAACTTCTATTCAACAGAAATAAAGGGCTGGTTTTACTCCTGCAGCAGTGTGTTGCAGCGAGCTTGTCGCAGATATGTTTGATTTATGCCCAATATTAAAGAGTTGACTGCGCTATGTTGTTCCACACCACAATGTAAGTTTGCCTATTCCTAAAAGTAGAAAAATGTAAATGTTCTTTTCCTTGAAGCTTCCATCACGTCTACACTTCGATATCTTCCATCCATCCCTTTTAGACTTACTTTATAAAGTACAACAGGATCATGACTGATCAACATATAAGTAGCAGCTTGTAGTTGATGGGAATTTAAAACAGAGTGCATTAGCCATCCTTTGATTTTAGAAAATGTCGCTGAAATCTGTGTTGCTGTTTTTGTTTACTATTCAGAGCTTACCTTGTTTTTGAATCCTCCTGCTCGTGTTTCTCTCCTTTTCCTCACATACATTGCAAGGCTGCTCTTTGACAGGTACAGTCTATGTTGCATTTGAACTGCAGCCTGTAGAGCTCACAACCTCCTTCATTCAACCAACCTATGTGCGATTTAAAGGTGTGTGTGCTTTTTATAGCAATAAAATCTGTCACACTGGGAGCCCAGAGCTCACCCACTATATATGCTAGAGCCTGATGTCCCATATTTTTATTTTCATGGATATGCTCATTCATATCACCTGCCTGGAGATATACTTTTTTCTGCTGCCAGAGAATTGTTTGGACCAAATGAATGTAACAGGTGGATACCTAAAAGGAGGAGTCATTTATTTGATGGAGCAACATCAGAGTCTGAGGACTACTCTTCATCAACAAGCTATAGGTTCTTAAACTTGCTCAAATACGCAGCACATTTCCCAGATCTCCCCCTATTATGGTACAGTAATGAGGAAATCTCACACCTAACGTTTGTGTGTTTACTCAACTCAGTTGGTGAAATATATGCTCAATCATACTTTAAAGCTCCATGAGGAGCACTCTAACACCCTGCAGAAACCATCCAATTTCTGGCTGATTTTTTATGTTCCAGCGCAATCTTAAGTCCTGTGTGAAGATGGGACAAATTTGTTTAAAAATGACTATTGGCATTATCAGTACATACACTATATTGCCAAAAGTATTTGCTCACCCATCCAAATTATTGGAATCAGGTGTTCCAATCACTTCCATGGCCACAGGTGTATAAATTCAAGCACCTAGGCATGCAGACTGTTTTTACAAACATTTGTGAAAGAATGGGTCGCTCNATGTCCCATATTTTTATTTTCATGGATATGCTCATTCATATCTGGAGAGATACTTTTGGCTGCTGCCAGAGAATTGTTTGGACCAAATGAAAATAACAGGTGGATACCTAAAAGCTTCAAGGAACTTTTGCATGTGGCAACTGTGGCTTCTAAAAGTAGGAGTCCTTTATTTGATGGAGCTACATCAGAGTCTGAGGACTACTCTTCATCAACAAGCTATAGGTTCTTTAACTTGCTCATATATGTAGCACATTTCCTAGATCGCCCCTATTATGGTAGAGTAATGAGGAAATCTTACACCTAAGGTTTTTGTGTACTCAAATCAGTTGGTAAAATATATGCTCAATGATACTTTAAAGCTCAATGCATTTTGTTTATACAAACCAGAGGACTAACTAACAGAAAATCCAATTTCTGGCTGATTTTTTAATGTTCCAGCGCAATCTTAGTACTGTGTGAAGAGGGGCCAAATTTGTTTGAAAATGACTATTGGCATTATCGGTGCATATATAAATAGGGGTTCAATCTGGTGTGAATATCTTTTTTGGAATATCATTACAGTGTTTTTTGCTGTCCAAGTATGGGGCCCTGTTGGAGTCAGGTTCCTGAATGTTTAGAGGCCTCAAAGTCCAAAACAGTCTTTTTTTTATGGATTCAATGAATTTTATTTGTGATATGTGTTGAAGGTGACTAGTTAATTATTGTGTGGGACTTAAATCTACATATGAAACCTATAAAGAGAAACTTCACAAATAAAATTTTATGTGGATTACACAGTGACCACCGTTTAATCAGTTTAGCATTTTTTTCTCCCCTGTAGGTCGACAGCCTTCGCCATTCACGGTCTCGGCTCAACATCTACAAGGCTCTGGCATCACCCTCTCTCATTGCGTTGTCCAGTGAAGATCCAATCCTCACTGCCTTTAGACTGGGCTGGGAACTAAAAGAATTAAGCAAGGTAAGGATGAAGTTCATAATGGATTGAAACATTGTATTGCATCTACCTACTGTTTCGTAATATCCATCCATCCATATGCATTTTCAGTGTCCTTTAAACATTAACCAAGAGGGGTTAAAACTAGGGCTGGGCAAATACTGTCATGTGCAATATAATCGCAATTTTTACATTTTTTAAAATTTTAAAATTTTCAAAACAGCATAGGCACTCACCTTTGGTCACATTACATTTAACAAGATGAAGTGACTAATTTATTTTCTTACATCAGTCCTTCAGCTGGCGGTAAAATGCCTAAATTAGGTTTGCTTACTTGAAAATTTAAGGAGAAAATTCCAGCTAGCATGCAGATCTATGCATGCAAGTAGAAATAATCTCTTTTTCAAACAAACGTTAAAATGAAGTCAAGCAACAATAAACTCAAGGTAAGCCAGCTTCCAAAGAAATTAAAAGAACTGAAAACCCAGAGTTAAAAAAATTACATGTTTGTGATTTGTGCAAAGGTAACTCAAAATAAATTGCCATTGCAATAACAGCTGGAAATAATTGCAATAAGATTTTTGGCAAAATCGTTTAGCCCTCAATGGAACTGTATTTGGGTCTAGAAAATCACAGCATTGTGATATCCAAACATTTAGGAAAACTGAACTTGAAATAGGCCATGCAGCCCACCAAGAGTTGATTTATTTGGCTTTAGTTTGTTGACATTTTCCAAAATCATCTGTGTCCTACATTTACCGATCCTTAATATTCAACTGTTATAAAATAATGTGAACTAATGTTTTTAGGGACTAATTAGATAATGTAGTTATGTCACTGGACAAAAAGCACCAGTGTTAATATATATAGCATGATAGGACAGTGTTTTCTTTCAGTGTATATTATCAACACTACAAGCTCCAAAGTCTTTCGGTCCAGTCAGGTTTTTTACATGAGCACAACTAAACTCGCAGATGGCAATCAGTTTCAAAACAAAATTGATATATGTCAATCAGATTGCGGTTGTTTTAATATATGTCTCATATTTCAGGTAGAGAATGAGTTTCGTCAGGAATATGAGGAGCTGTCTCAGCAATGCAAGCGCTTTGCCAAGGACCTTCTGGATCAGGCCAGAAGTTCAAGAGAACTGGAAACCATCCTGAATCACAGAGATAACGACCAGAGCGAGGAGCTGGACCCCAGGCAGTGCCACGACTTGGCCAAGCTGAAACTTGCCATCAAATATCACCAAAAGGAGGTAGGGACTCATCACCAAGGCTGTGTTTGAAGAGCAGTGGAGCACTGCTTGAACACTATTGTTTAGCTGAAATAGAGCTGTGTTGCTATGTCTAGTGCCTCGGAAAGTTGCTTTTTTGACACTAACGTTAGTCTTTTGTTCTAGGCAGAGTTAGGGGTAATGTTTTTGTGTAATTGGCCTGCTTGTAGATTCAAAGCTTAGCATTGGTGACACTGATGGCTATGGATGTTTTTTTGGCCTGTTGAGGAATTTTCCATTGAATAGGTTCAATACATGGCAATGTTACATTTATCATTTGATTTACTTCCACAGAACAGCAAAATGGTATTTAAATGTCAATTTAGTGGCTATATTGTAATATTAAACTAATGGCTATGAAGTGAGCAGTTAACCAGTAACAGCTAAGCCCTTCTCGATTTATTCTTTCGGAAAAAATAAAGGACCATGAGAGATGAGATGAGTAGGCTGTCTATATTACATGATTTAGGCATAACGTTTTAGTCATAATTTTGTAAAAAGACATTGAATTATAGAAAAAAAGATAGAAAGCAATTAAACTTCTAAAAATGTAGTGCAAAGTACAATTTTAAAATATTTATTAGTCTTGTGGGACAACGGTTTAATAAAATTAGATTACTTTGACACTGTTATGCTAATCCACTCACAGCCAGTAGTGGAAAATTAAAGCAGAACTTAGTACCGGTAACATTTTTACCTTAATACATCCTCCAATAAGTTCCTATGATGGTAAACCAACTGTTGATGGGACGATTGAGAATTATCTTATCTCCCCTGACTGGCTCCAGTCAGGAAACCAGATTATCCACTTTCTATGCCCTGGTATCCTGATAGCAGCCTTACAGCTTGGTTTTCATTCTCGCGGTTTCACAAATAGCTTTAAGGCAGCTCAATATAGTAACCACAAGCCTTACTGCCCAACTCCCAGGTGATAACAGAAGAGTTTTCTTTTTTTTTTCCATAGGTTTATGACATTTTAAAGCCATCAAACACGGTAAAGAACCCTTCAGTCAGAAGAGGAATAAAGGGAAAATATGAATCAGATTAGGACAGGATTCTAACAAGGGAGAATTCATCAAGCATTTACTCCTTAAACACAAACAAGGATGGAAACTGATGTGGTTTTTTTGGTTCATCAAATTAGTGTTTTTGCACTAACATTGGAACCGTTCACAGCCCTTTTTAAATTGGTTATATTATGTGTTTGTAACTTTTAGTAACCTATTTGTTCCTGTCGTTAGCATTTCTCAAAGAGTCTGTTAAGGGTTTGTTGCTACATGTAGGTACACATAAAAAAGGCATCACTGTGTAATGCAGCAGAAGCTTGCTGAAGGCACACTATGTTTACATGTAACATAACTTCAATGTGTGCATTGTTTCATGCAACACTATTTGCTGACTAGCACAAGATTAAATTGATGTTTCAGAGTTTCAAGTTGTTCTTCAAAATATGTAAAAAACATAAATGGTGTATTGAGAGGTCTGCAGCACTGTTGGAGGGTTTTGATGTTTTCATTCCTTAATTGTCCCTTTATGTTAAAAATAGGAATGTAAGAAGCGGCGATTCCAGCTTATTAGAACCTTTCACTGACTTTAAAGCTAAGATTCACAGAAATCCATATCTCCAATACACCGATGTTCTTTTCTTTCTTTTTTTTTTTCATTGGAGATTTTTAGGAGCCATTGCTCCCTCATTGTTTTGTTCAGCATAATAAAAATGTGGAAGGAAGGAAGGAAGGAAGGAAGGAAGGAAGGAAGAGGGGAATGACAATGAAGCTTAAGAAGAGGGAACAATGTTACTGAGTGAAATAATGAGCTGGAACAAGTGTGAGCGGATACAAAGCCAACAAACATGGAGGCAGATTTAATGGGACAGAAAAAGAGTAAAATGGGGAAGTAGATGGATTAGGTTAACACACGAGTGAGGATGAGATGGCAATATGATGGGATGGAGTTAGTGAAAAAAAACAGAGCTAAAAACAAAACCCAAGGCGATCTCTGTTTCTGCACTTCCATCTTCATGTTGCTTTCCTGCTGCTTCCAGCTCTCTGCAGCAGAAGGATCCTGCCATACAGATGAAAGCCAAAGTGAAAGGACAGGATGAGGGGAGGAGAAGAGAAATGACAGGGATGATACTCGGATGGACTTGGAGAGAAAGCATCAAATGTAGGGCTTTCTTTCTCAGGAGCACTGAAGGTGATAGAGCTCTGTCGAGGAAAACCGGAAACTGAACATAGATATTTTAAAGAATATGTTTATTGAATAAAGATGTAGGTTACCAATAAAGATTTTGGGCTTTGGGTTGTCATCCTGTTCAAACAACCACTTTTATTTTTTATTCTGCTGATAGAGATGAAATAAATAGATTTGGATGTAGCTCTCACTATACTTTTCCATTCAGGTTGTGCAAAACTGCAGTACAAATGGCTGTAATACAGCCCTTAGCATGACACTATTACCACTATGCTAGGCAATTATCATTTTTAGGTTTGACAGGGCCTCTAAACATATCTCTTGTCATTTTTAGACAGCTCTATACTTGTGTTGTCTGACCATGAAAGTCCTCTCTAGAAGAATCTGTCTTGTCTGTGCAGGCATGAGCAAATTTCAGTCCAGAATGAAGATAGTGTCATGGTTTTGGTTTGGTTCAAGTTTTATTTTGAGTTTTCCTTGGTCTTATTTCAATTCTTGTGTTCTAGGTATTTTTGATTGTATTTGAGTTCTTAGATATTTCCTGTTTGCCTTTTTGTCTCAGTCTCCTTTTCCCTAGCTCCCTTCTTGCCTCTGTTCACACCTGCTCCCAATCTGCTAATTAGCCTGGTCTTTGTTTCTCTCTCCCATATAATCTCCTCCTGTTCAGTCACTCTTTGCTGGTTTGTCGTCATTACTTTGTCCCCTTCTGTTTTGAGTATTCTTGGCTTTAAGCATTTCTGGATTTTTGCTTCTGTTAAACTTTTGTAATCAAAACATTCAAGTAACCACCTCAAGCTTTTGTCTGCATTTGGGTCCTGTCAAAGCTCCACCTCCATTGTGACAGAATAGAATTAAACTTTATGGTCATTACACTGTCACAAGTTCAAAGCAACGAAATTCACTCTCTGCATTTAGCCCATCCCTTTGTATTGCCTGGGGAACACTGTGGGGGCGAATGGTCTTGCTCAGGGAGCCAGAGTGGAGGTCCATGGGCTTGAACTCTGGCATCCAAGCGCAATGCCCTAACCACTAGGCCGCCACTCCCAGAGTGGTCGCATTGGGATCAGTGGCTTCTTTCATTAGTCAGCATTAGGGCTGAACTATCTTGCCAAAAATGCATGGAACTATGTGCTAGCTGCAACTCTTTCTACCCTTTTGTTTGACAAACTCATTCCAGGTTTTACTGCCACCTCAAGGAATTTTAGTGTTAAATGCAGTGTGATTAAAGTTAAGTGCCTCAGCAATTTGAAAATTGGATTATGTTAAATTGAGAATGTTACAAAAGCGATGAACTGCCCATCCCCAGTCATCACCCTCTTAGAACATGTTGAAGGTAAATTGCTAAATGCGCTAAATATGTCCCATCATCATGCAGTTTAAAGTACTGTATGTTTAAACCTCAGTGGTTTCTAATTTGTTTTTGAACAACCTAATTTTTACAAACAATATAGATTACAAAAAATGCACCAAGTGTGATTTAAGCCATCTGTATTTGGTGGAGGTTATCAGTCCAACTAGTGAGACTTAGACTTAGACTTTGACTTTATTAATCCCTTGGGATTACTCCCTTCGGGAAATTGTATTTCCAGTAGCAGAAAAAATTGCACATACAAGAAAATAGAGGATGTTTAGGCACAGTATATACAATAGAAAAATAAAATCAATTAAATAAGATGTTCTATGTTTTTAAAGTAACGCTTATTTAATATACACTGAATAATGTGATGAATGAATGAAGAATTATCTTTTGTATAATTGCTGCTAACCTCAACATAATTTTGCTTCTTGATTTATCGGACATGCAGATGATCAAATTCAACCAACTAAATCTATAAAAATAAGAAATATAGTCATTGAAATCTATAAATTTACATTTAGAGGAAATAATAAAGATCTGTCTCCTTTTTTTAGTTAACAAAATGTGGATTTTTAACTTGTATATGAACTAATAGAGTTTTCTTTTGAAGCTCCATAGCAGATTAAATGCAATCTACAGTGAAAAGGTTTTACTGTCGGGTAACATGCTAATTTAATCACAGCCTTGCTTCTGTGACGTACGGTTCACAGAAAGTCGAAGGGAGCCGATGAACAGTCAGCCTTCCTGCTGTTTGCCTCTTCTGCAGTGGGCTTCCATCTAACGCACCTTGCTGCGAGGTATAATTAGCAGTAGATCTGACTGAGTGGGTCTTTGTCCAAGAACCTCTCAGACACCTGAAAGTCTTATTTTTAAAAACATTTGGTTGTATTCTCAATTGAAAGCTGTAAATAAAACATATTCTGGGATAAAGGCTGTAAAGAGGAAAGGTGGAAGACACTGCTGTGAGAAGAGTTGAAGAGGCCGTGGGGGGAAAGAGTGCTGTCAGTGGTTAATAAAGGAAGGGGTGAGAGGATGGAGAGTGCAAACAGGAGCAGCTGATGAAACTAGCATGAAATGTTTGAGAGTGGAAGAACTGATATATGGAAATTTGTTTGTAGAAAAATGCATTTTGCAGGAACACTGTATTTCATTCTTTAGTGTCAGACTCCACAAAAAAGTGTGTAATGTTTTTACAAGGGGTCTGAATTCAAGTCCAGGTCACTTGAGGTACAGTATCAAGTTGGGAAGTGCTAGTTCATACAGTACCGAGAACCAGTACTCTAGAAAAAAAAAGCATTAACATCTATGTTTGTACTCATTATGCAGCAGTTGAGTTTATTCTGCAGCCAGAAGTCTCCCTAACAAGCAATAATCTGTATGAATGATGTGAGGGAAAGAATTCAAAAGTACTTTTTATTTTTATTTGTTTTAA